GGAGAGGGTGGAATAATGGATAAAAATTAAGATAGAACGGCGGAGGATAGAAAATCGGATAAAACAGGTGATCGCCCATTTTGGAAACGTTATAAAATTAAGAGATTGGCGAATATCTAACAATATAGATGAAGACATAGTCGAAAACTTTTGTCCGCCAAATATAAACAACTTCCTTGGCAAACGCCTATCGACCAGGTGTAGATGCTACTAGAATTTTTTGTAACTCCGAATAATAAATATACCAGGAAGCTTGTAACGTGATTTTGTCTCGATACGCTCCAGTGAACGCCTTATCCAATTTTTCCCAACATTCATTTAATTTGCTAATTAGAAATGATCGTCTTACGGTTTTTGGCGAGAATCGTTTTGCTCCAAAGATCTTAAATCATCCACTTTAATTTTCATCGGAAATATTTTGTGAAAAGAATTGTTCTAGGAATTGGTGCACACTATCAGGAATTAAAGATTCTGTTATCCTGTCCGACGTTGTTATTTGGAGAATTAGTTTCGGACAACATGACACCTCTTGCATATGTTGGAATTGTGGATGATGATGAATTAATAACGATTCGAAGTAATGAGAGTGTTTCTTGATGAACTTCATGATAATATGAGAGGGTTCCTTTGGTGCAATCTTAATCTTCATCCGGATATTTGTTCTGCATATACTGTAAACTTTATGTCGCCGACACAAACTTCCCTTTATATTTTATAGCCCGTTGTAAGGTTGCAGACGCGTTGCACAACCCGAAGGGCATTACGTCAAATTCATACAGCCAATGAATGGACGTGTCTTGCCACTGACTTATCTTTACATTTTATGGTCAGATTTAGTGGATTTAGAAGGATGTCAGATATTGCCAGCACCCTTCCCAACAGATATCTTTCGATGTCACAGCACTTCTTAAGAAGTCCGTTATTGCCTGCACAGTGAAAAAGAAAAAGGTCAATAATTTACTAACACATTTTTGTTTGAATTTTTACATTATATTGTAGATCGTCATCACGAAAGTATATAGAAAATTTTGCAAGGAGCATTTTTAGTTAGAACACAGAAAGTAGATACACGCTTTAAAACGCTTTGTTTTGAATTTTTTACGTTACACATGGCTCCTGCGATTTGATTAAAAAATCAACATTTGCACGTGATTTTTTTCGCCATGGCCTACAGTAATCACGTGGGATCAAATTCACTATGCTTTAACCATGGGTAAAATCAAATCGATTGGTTTACCCCACTTTTTTTTCGCATGGCCAGATTCTAATATTGTGTCCGTGACTTGTCAAGAATCAAATTCACTATTTTTCTATTTCCCAGCTGGCTACTCGAGCAGAAAAACTGAGCTTATTCACTTGTATTCTGCGAATGTTTTCATATTTAATATGAAAACGCAACCCCTGCGCAAGTGGCTGCTAGGTATTAAGTTGAAGATCGGAAAAAACTGAGGTCATTCATCTGGATAGCAGGAACGTTATTACCAACCGGGAGTCAGGAAAGTACTTTTCTGATTCTTTATCATGAACATTTGACAGGAAAAAATAACTCTGGGCTTGCAAACTAATAACTACTCTTTCCAAGAAATTTTATTAGCATCGTAGAAGGCAGGTAATATAAACTTTCAGCGGGTTTTGCTTAGGTTAATGTTGTTAATTCATTTTGGCACTGCATGCATGTTTTGTATAGGTACAGCTGATGACCTTTTTATTCTATTCAGAAATGAAACTGGGATTATAATTAATATTGGCCGTGTCAACTCTGCTCAGATTGTGCGTTAGCAGATAGCTTAGACAAATGAAAAATTATAACATAGGCAATAGTATAGAAACAATACTGTAGATAGATTTGATCCTTTTTAATTTTTATTATAATCAATAAAGCAGAGGCGTATTAATGCGATTGTTTACGCACCAATATTCTTTCGCGCTGTATTTTATTTGTTAATACGGGTCTATAACTGCGAAAATTTTTTTCATGACGGAAATTTCAGTTATGTGACATTTCCGGTCTTGAACAATGTCAAACGATCTATCCGCAATTGATTTGCTGAAAGAATTAAATTTCAAACTCTTTCTTAGCTGAGATCACTGAACTTAGAAAGGAGAATGCTGAAATTCCTGAACTTAAGAATATTCCCGAACATTCCCCTCAAAAAGGTGCCCTTAAAGGATCGGAAAATATATCCGATAATGCATCTATTCACACAGAGTCTAAATCACCGAAGACAAAGCGGTTGATGATTTTCTGGATCAGAATCAAAATACTTTTCCAACAGAATTAGAAGAACCACTATTACCAAAAACCGTGACCATCGGTCACGATCAAAATAAGGTCTAGTAGAAAATTTAATACAAGAGATGCCCCATGATTATACACAGGGTGTCATTTCTTCCAAAAATGATTCCACATCTTTACATCTTTAGATATCAGCGGATTTGGCATGGGTGAAATTAGCAAGTCTTGTATACAAAATATGATTCCAGGTATGATTCCAGGATCCGTGCAAAGCCTCCCATATTTATTTGATAAAGCAGTTAAAAAGGTAAAAAGAGATTCTATGCTGATATTACTATTTACTTGAATTCGAAAATAAAGGTTAAAAGCCTTACAGCTGACGGGAAGGTTACAGATAAAATGGCAGGAACAAAGATATACAAGGAAATGAGCTCGAAAAATCCTTACACTGTTTGGGAAAGGAGGAAAAGGTATAGCTAAAATTAAACAGATTTCATATAACGCTCGTACTAGGGGATCACCGTTAAGGTTATTATTATAATGCAAGGAACATTTTTTGTTAGAACAAGCACTGTCACTGTCCCTAAGCACTGTTACATTCATAATATTTTGATAATATGAAGCTAAACAAGAACTTTAATTATCAAAGTAAACAAGTTTTTAAACAAGTTTAAATAAAAAATCCAATTTATGTCTGTTTAATTAAAAGTTGATGACGTCATGACAAAATACACAATCAAACGTGATCGTATATCGATAGTGATTTGTTCTCTATTTAAAAACTCAGGCAATCTTTGCATCTCTTTGTTGTCTATGCAAAGGTCATATGGAAGACGTTAATCTATGTGCAAATGAGCCGTTTTTGTTACAATTTTGTTTTGTGTAGAACTTTAAATGTATATGCTATTTGATGAGTGTTTTACGAATATGACAAAGATAAAAAGAACAATTGTCCTTATCGTTATGACAAGAATAACGAAAACGATAAGGTTACGGATATCTAATTCAACTTCCACAATGGGTTAGTGTTAGTCTAGCCTTTCACAGATTTAGTTCGTATTTAAAAGACGCGGTTTTTCTCGTCATAGTGATACAATCTATTGATAACGTGATAAACTCGGGAAAACTTCGTCGCGTTGGGATATTTTAGAAAGCATTCGTTTCTCTGTGGCTTAAGGCTGAATTATATAACGAAATGTCTTCATTAAACTCATTAAACGGTTTTGAGAGTACTTCAAGTCCTGACTCGTGTAAAAAGAAAACATACATTAATGACCCGATACATGTACGTACTCTAAGAAGCTCAGTTCTGTTTAAGCAGATATTTACTGCTTCTTTGCATTTCAGAATTTAATGGAGTTTGAAGGGTGGATGATGGAATTTGTGGATACTCCAGAATTTCAGCGACTACGTAATATCAAACAGCTGGGGAGTACATATTGGGTGTTCCCCGGGGCGAGTCATAGTAGGTTTGAACACAGCTTAGGTGGGATTAAGTATTTCAGATAGTTGATAGTCTTCCTCATTCGCACGCTTATTATTGAAATAATTTATTGATTAAAAAAATAACAATAATAGGGGTGGCCTGGCTCTCTTATAATCTCGTCAAAAGGTTCGAGCGAGAACAACCGGAACTTGAACTCGACGTAAACGCTGTGAATTGTGTGACTCTTGCTGGCTTATGTCACGACTTGGGTATGTGCAGGATATTAAAGATCGAATTTATGCTTTTCGTTCTTTACTTTACATTAGTTTTTTTCAGGCCATGGCCCTTTCAGTCATATTTTCGATAACTCAATAGTTCCAAAACTAAGGTTAATCAATTGATCGAGAAAGGGAATTTTCATTTTGAGTTATTAATTAAAAATAAAACCGTAATAATTAATGAATAGACTAGGACGAAAGTGGTGCCATGAGGAAAGTTCAACAATGATGCTTGACTTCTTGGTTAAGAAAAATGAGATCGATATTGAGAAAAGCAAGATTGATATTGAATTTGTAAAAACTTTGATTCGTGGTCAAAGAAATGGGTAATGACAATTTGTTTTATAATTATTTATCCTATTCGGTGGTTAACTAGAATTCTATGGATTACAGAGACTCTGATCGAGAGTTCCTATTTGATATTGTTGCCAATCAGCGCAACTCTGTAGACGTCGATAAATTCGATTACCTCAAAAGAGATTGTTATTACACGAAACCGGGAATAAACTTCGATGCCGAACGACTTATGAAGTTTTCACGAGTTGAACAGGGTCAGATCTGTTATTTGCACAAAGAATATAACAACTTATACGATATGTTCCACACTCGGACTTCTCTTCATAGGAGAGTCTACAATCATCCGAAAGGTAAATAAGTCATGATGTTCAGGTTTTTTAATTGAATAAATCAAATAATTAATGTGGAATAAATGTAGGCAAAGCCATCGAGTTTATGATTGCCGATGCGATTGTGTCGGCAAGTGAACATCTTCAAATAAAGGAAGCTATTTATGATCCAGAAAGGTATATGGAACTCAACGATCATATCTTGCATAGAATTGAGTGGTCAACTGATTACGCAAGTTTCTTTCTAATTAATATCCTACTTTTTATTTTAGCTGAAAATTCTTAATCTCTATTTTTGTTTGTATTTTATTAGGCATTAAAAGATGCAAGAGAGATAATAAGACGTCTCAAAATCAGAGATTTGTATAAATTCGTAGATGTAAAGATGATACCAGCTGAAAGAAGAAAAACTGCCGAAGATTTAGAACGTGTAAAGGTGAAGTATATATTAGTAGATGTTTCTATTAATATGTATCACTTTCTATTAATATGTATCACAACGTAAACGACATTTTTTTTCTTTATCAGAAGGAGATCACTCCCCTTAAGATCAGCGAGCACGGGCATCACTCTAACCTCAAAGAAGATGATATCATTGTGGATTTTTTCAAATTAAATTTCAAAAAAGGAAAAGAAAATCCCCTTGATTCTATTAAGTTCTACAATGACTACAACCCCAAAGAAGGTTGTGTTCTTAA